CAAATAAGCTAGTGTGGGTGTTAACGTGAATGGTTGGTTCGTACCTGTAATGGACATCTGTCTGTTGCTTGTCTTCTTTGAGTCCCTCGAGCCACCTTAACAGAGGACAAAGATTTAGTGATATAAAGACTAATGCAGTTGCGCAGCATCTAAAAATACACAGCACAGGGTACCCATCACAGAAAAATGCTTTCACGAGATTGAGGTGCCAAACGATTTTGCATGCATAACWYAAAARCCTGCARTRGWGGCTTTGCACCATCASGTGCCGGAGSCAATAAYACAGCTTTGTGCAAAGCCTCTATAACACGATTGCAATGCATGTACAACTGCGAGAACAACTACTAAAGAAGCAGCAAATAACTCCAGAGAGCGTTCTGCTAAGCAACACCAAGCGAGATGAGATCTCTGCATACCCTTTGATGAAGATATCAGAACACTTTTCTCCTGTGATAAGATTGGCTTCGTCTAGTAGAACGTCTTCTGTGTTCCAGATGACCACTCTCAACTCGTAACTAAAACAAAGTAAAGCCATTTTAGTGTTACGGTATACCTGGCAATCCTTGTGCGAAAATGCTGCGGCAGTATAACTGAGAAAATTTAAAATTATCAAGGGCGGATCCAGCCAAAATTTTAGAGGGGGGCTTCTTGAGTTTAGGGGGGGGGGGGGCTAATTGAGTTTCTTCCGTCAACACAACGGAAAACAATAAAAAAGCAAATAATTCTTCAGGGTTTTTTTTCCTGCTGAAGGGGGCTTCAGCCCCCCTTTGTCCCCCCTGGATCCGCCCTTGATGATAAGCAGATCACATGACCTTTGTGGCTGTTTGTGATTGGTAGATAGTTAGTCGCATGATTCGTCACCTATGACTACTTTTTTGATTGGCAGATCACAGATCACATGACCTGTATGGCGCTTTGTGATTGGTAGATATAGTGCTCCTTACCTCGTTGGTTTTCTTGGAGTGATTTCGACTGGTGCTCCTGGAGAGGGCATGTCCATCGGGAACATATCAACCCACATCTCGAGCTTACCCTGAATGAAACAAAAAAGAAATTTGAATTGGCATTACATTCAACATATCCCTTAAGATAATGAAATAGGTAGTCGAATAGTTGGATGCAGCAGCTCTAACTTTTGTTGAGTTATATTGAATTATTTTTTGATTGCTTTTTGTGCTGTAACTTGGTATGGTCAAGAGTTACTAAGATAGGCGTCCACTAAAACAGCCCCAGGATGCACTGCGATGCCAACTCGACCCAGTTTTYCCCCCTCAAATTTGGAATGACTAATTGACCAAAGAACATTGAACACAAAATATGAAAATAATTGTTGTCTCAAAAGTTTACCTGTTCGACTCCTGGTTTCTCGGGGTTGAAAAGTGATCTTGTCTCGACGTGTTCAGGTACCAAGTGGAAGCCTCTCTTCAAAGTGTGGAAATTCTTGAGGCATTTTAGAGCTACGGGTTCGTCAGACTGCTTATAATGGCCTGTCAAAGACGAAATTATTTCAGAGTCGGATTTGGGACGCTAAAGTCAACCAGCATGGCGGCTATGACGTCATATGCACCACAATAATTGACCCAATCCCTAGAATATCATTTCTTTGTTTAACGGTTGTGCATGAGAAGACACATAAATATGGATACAACTCAAACAAAGAATCTTATTCCCAAGAGAATGACAAATTGTCTGAAATGGGTAAACATTACGCCCAAGGTAAAGAGATCTATTTTCTTTTGAGGTTTCGATAAATCTAAATCTATAAATCTGGGTGCCAAATTCATGACCATAAAGAGTATTCACTTGGTTGCGCTGTACGTACCACTTTCTTCGAGGATCTGTGAAGGAGCAACAAAGGTCTTGTTGTCCAATCGAACCCTTCCAGTCGAGTAATGAGGTCCGTCAAGACCCTCTTCCTTTGTAATCTTGGCAAGAATCTGCGTGGGTCTTAGTGGATCACGCCATTTGTTGAACCCAAATCTTTGAAGAAATAYAAAGTCCAATTTGGCACAAGTCGCACATAATTCATATATTTAGCTTAAGATAAATGTCGGAGTCCCGTATCTAGTCGAACCTCCAGGGGAACAGGGAACAAATAGGGAATATCGGGGATCCGAGATATCCAGGGTATATTTTGTAGTAACAGTCCACGGAAATTTCGAGATATCCGGGGTTCGAAATTTGTTACTATAAATGGGAATAACCAGACATATACACATACGTGGCGTAGGCGTCTTGTAAACCACAGGTAGCCCGGTGCTTGCTGTAGAAGCGATTTTCCAAATCGACCTTTGTTTCACCAATCAGATCGTCGCTGCCAACAAGATCCCAATCATAGACTCCTACTGTCAGCATGGAGTCCATGGGAATGATGGCCTCAAACTCGAAGCATCTGAAACACAATCGTAAAGTTTAGGATCAACTAATCTCTTGACGCATTGAGGTAATAGAATGCGCTTTATAAGCACTTTATATTAATCTTATTATTATTATTATAACTTTTGGTAGCGAGAGAAAAATACTTAATAATTCTTAAATACCGCTGACACCTCTGACTACAGACTCATTTGTACGCGTCTAGCCTCGTTTGAGACCAGATAAATAATGATAAATAATAATGATGATGATGATGTTCGTAATAATGATGATGATGATGATGATGATGATGATGATGATGATGATAAAGTTTCTCTTACTTTAATTTATTCCGACAACTATAATAAAATCGATGAGATCTAGTTACCTTCCAAAGCTAGGATTGAGCTGCTTAGACACGTAGTTGTCACGGTCGCGTACTTTGTGTTTGCCAAGGTTGACTTGAAGATAAGGATCGGCTTTGCCGTTCACGTCCGATGGATGGAGGTTGAGCGCCTGTAGGGAATAACAAAAATAAATAAGACATTTGAATCAAATATGCACACGAATAAAAAGCGCAGCAGGAGATTCAAAGCTAGGGGAGCGTCAGACCCCAAACGTGTAGTCTCATATATAAGTTAGTTTTCTATATGTTAGTATTTCTATAGTTTTCTCAGTCCTCCATGTGATAAGACAGCTGTACTGACTACTGACAATGAAGAACGGCAGCAACAGATCGCAAATAGACCTCTTTACATTGGGCGTAATGTTTTCCCATTTCAGGCCACGTATTCCCTAGAGTATCATTTCTTTGTTTAATGGTTGTGCATGAGAAGACACATAAATATGGAGACAACCAAACAAAGAATCTCGTTCTCAAGAGAATGACACGTTGTGTAAAATGGGAAAACATTAAGCCAAAGGTAAAAGGGTCTTTTTCTTTCAGTGACTAGAGTCAATTTGGCTTTAATGCTTCTCAAATTATGAAGTGATTTTTGAAATTTGAAAGGGGTTTTTATTTGAAAAATTTCTGACCAGACTCGAGTCAGACCTCAAATTCGATAGTTTTCTGTTTCTTTGTTACCTTGACGACGTAGACCCTGACGAGAACATTGACTGGTTCGTTGCTGGGCAACTTGAGGAAGGTTCCAACGATAGGATCCATTTCCACATGCTCTGGTAGAGGATACTTCCAGACTTTGAGAGAACCCTAAAACAGTCAAGAGAAAATGCTTGATACTCGATACACGTTTAATGCAAACAAACTTTTAATACAAACAGAATGCTTCTTTGATTCCATCCAGCGCATCTATGCATCACAGTATCGATACAGCACACACAAGCTAATTAGCCATTCCGAGGTTGAGGGGAAAACTGGGTTGAGTCGGCATTGCAGTGCATTATGGGACAGTTCTAGGGGATAAAATAGACGCCATCATGGAAATATGTTCCCTAAAACAGTCCAACAATGCGCTGCAATGCAACTCGACCCAGCGACCCAGCCTTTTTCTAACTTCGAAAAATTTTATCGTTCGTTTAACCCTACGACATGACTTCCACTTAATACCAACTAATATGCAACGTTCTTTCTGCATCTTATAAGTTAGATAAAAATCAAAATTTTCAGGCAATGAGTGTTTCGTACGCCCTTACCTTGAATTTCCCAACAATCCTGTGATCATCGTCATCATCTTCACTCGTTTTCTTGCCACGGAATAGTGGGAATGAGTGAAGCCAGTCATTGAACCCATTGAAGTCATGCATGTCTTCCAGTTCGCGCTTGAAAATCTACAGACACACCGATAAGTATTATGAAAGAGTGTTTCTTCATCGCCATTTTTCTCAAGATTTCATATTTCAAAGTTTAGATTGGTGATCCCATCTATAGTAAGAGGGTACTGAAGGGGTTAAATGGGAGCTTGGATTCGCCTTTTTGGGGCTGGATTTTATGCACTGGGAATGAGATTCACAAACAAAGAACCATCAAAAAACGGGAATGAGATTAAGATTTGAGCAAAACATAGGCTGGGACTATGGGATTTGAACAAAATGGGGGCTGGGGAAAGGGACTTAAGAACCCCCCCTTCAGGACCCTCTAGTAACTCTTTCATTGGTTTATCAAAAAATCAAAACCTGTCTCTACGACAACTGCACGTGAATAGAACTTGGAATAAAAAAAAATCAACTCACGGTAATTCTTGGGATAGCCTTCCTTCTTTTCTCTTCTTCTGATTCTTCTTCTTTCTTTGGTTTCTTCTTGCTGTGAGAGGCAGGTTTGTTTTCATCTTTTTCTGATCGTTCCTGGTCCTTTATAGTCTCGTAGTAACGCGACCACCAATCCAGCGAATCTCCATCTTCTTCATTCTTGTCTTTTTCCTTGTCTCCTTCGCTTTTCTTTTTCTTCTCCTGTTAAGAAAACCATTTCAAAGTCAGGGCGGTGAGTGGTGAGTGGTTAGGTGGTGAGTGGGGGGGAGGGGGGGGGGCTAGCTACCCTCATTTTACTTAAATTTCTCAGTATTATCTTCAGTAAGCAACCCTCTTTTCCTCGGATTCCTGGTAAAACCTTTGTAATAGTCATCCTGGTCCCCTGGTCATGTACTGAGGTCTTTATAAATGCCCCTTGTTCTTAATAGGATGGGCTTTGAAGAATTTATAAAATTGATTATTCTCCTCTTCAATTATAAAACTGGCTTCTCAATTTTACTGAATTTGCGTTTTTCTGTTCAATCACGTACCCAGAGCCTTTATTTCTTACTGCGCATGCTCGACGAAATAAATGGGCTCTGGAAAATTCCAATGACCAGAAGCCAAATTCTGGCTATTTTGCACATGCGCATTATCAAATTTGTGGCCCGCCAAGTTGGATGCGCAAGCAACCTTGAGAAAAGGGTCTATTTAACATACCAGTAGCTCAATGCTTTCGATATCCATTGGAGGAAGTTCCTCAATTTCTAAAGCAACATCTCCTGATGGCGAGTTGGGTCTTGATGGTCCATTAGCAATAGTCTCTGTAAAATGGGCAACACAACAAGATGTTCTTAAAAGTTCAAACCGTTGATTTTTATATGACTTTAGGGTGGTGTAGCGGTGTCACCCCTGGGGTCTCGGGTCGTTCAATTTGCCAATATCGGCATTAAATGTGAGTATAGGTTTGTTAGGTCTCTCCCCTGCTTCGAGGGTTTTAACTTCAGGTTCTAGGGTTTTCTTCCCTCTTCTTTTCCTTCCATAACCTGATATGCTAAATTCTAATTCGATCTGTGAGTTAGTTAGGACCAGACTTTATTTAATCAGCCCAGAGATTGTTTTAGGGTGTCAAAAAGGTTTAAAATATAATTCAAAACACAACTTTTTCTCACCAGCAATTTCAAGCTTTTCTTTTTCTTTTTCCCCAGACTGGAGGTAACGATGAAGGGAGTTGAGCACGTGTGTGCCGACCAACGTGAATCGACCAAACGTTCGGCAGTCACGCACGCGGATTGTCAAGGGTGGACAGTACCTCTCGTTCTCGGGGAGTTCCTGGGCGATTAACGCAAAGTTATATGGTCAAAAGGGCAATAAAATGATAAATAATGAATGATTCCATAGAATCCATCTTGGTGGACAAATCCGTGAACATCTTACCACATCAAAGAAGCAAACAGGATTCTGGAAGTTAGGGTTCTTCTTTGCATTAGCGATGACAGTAGACTGGATGACATGACCAGCCAGGTCAATATCGACCTGGGGTCGATCTACTGTGGTCAGGTTGATACGCTTCATCTCACGTACTCCCCAGAAAAGAACCTGAAACACAATCGATTATACTTCAAACCACCTGCTTATCTAGTAATATATAGTAAGAACATGCGTAATAGGTAAATTACGAGCCTTGTAGATAAAAAGACTGAAGAAGAGTGTCATACAAGCCTTTCACGACTTCAAGTCGCGTAAAAAATGAGCCAGCTCAACTAGAAACCGTGGACAGCTGTTTCGGCCTGTATTGGGCCTCGTCAACACGGTGTATCTAGTGAGCTGGCAATCCCACGAAAAAGTAGTACTAGATAGATGAGGCAGTAAGCCGTGTGGGACCGGCTTATGTATCTAGTAATATATAGGAGCGGTTTAATAGGTTTATCTATGAACTTTGACTGGTTAATAATTCGTAGGTATGTATTGACTTGGGAATAATACCTCGCTGAAACCTAAGAAAAAAACAATGAACGTTTCATGATAAGCTATCTTAATAGACATCACGATTATTTGACACCCCTCCCCCAACCCAATCCGCTCCACCCCACCCC